CGCTCAAGCGACCCTCCCATTTCAGCCTCCCCAGGTAGCTGGGACTACAGGTGCTTGCCACCACACCGTTAATTTTTATATTTCTTGTAGAGACGAGGTCTCAATATGTTACCCAGGCTGGTCTCAAACTCCTCAGCTCAAGTGATCCTCCCGCTTCAGCCTCCCAAAGTGTTGGGATTATAGGCATGAGCCACCATGCCTGGCCTAAAGCAGAGAGCTTGAAGGGAGATTCTAGAAATTAGATATGAATTTTGTGGGTATAGGATCTGTGATGCAGAAAAGGTTGGGAACTCCTGGATATACAAGGCTGTAGGGGCCAAGAGCAGACATGGGTGCTTAGACCCTGGAGTAGGTGGGAGCTGGTAGATTATTTTGATGGTGCTGAGTAGCTGGAAATTTGAAAATGGAGGTGGGATGCTGGGTGCAGTGGTTCAGGCCTGTAATCTCAGCACTTTGGGAGGCTGAGGCAGGTGGATCACCTGAGGTCAGGAGTTTGAGACCAGCCTGGCCACCATGGTGAAACCCCATCTCTACTAAAAATACAAAAATTAGCTTGGCATGGTGGCAGGTGCCTGCAATCCCAGCTACTTGGGAGGCTGAGGCAGGAGAATCACTCAGACCTGGGAGGCGGAGGTTGAAGTGAGCTGAGATCGCGCCATTGCACTCCAGCCTGGGCGACAGAGCGAGACTCTGTCTTAAAAAAAAAAAAAAAGAAAAAGAAAATGGGGGTGGGAATAGGGATTGGAAGAGGTATAGATTTGGGAGTTATTACCTAGAGGGTAGGGACAAGTACCTCATGGGCAGACAAGCAGGGTAGGGGTGGCAGTGATTCATCAAGAGTTTGGCAGTCAATAAGTGACAGAAACCTACTCAACCTGGTTCAGGCAGTAGAGGCAATTTATTGCCAATGTTACTGAAGATTGAAGCAAGACTGGATCTGATGGCTCACGCAATGCCACTGAGACTTGGTTTCATGTCTTCATCTCTCAGTTGTTTCCCACTCTGTCTTGGTCTCATTCTCAGGCAGCATCTCTGCTTGCAGTGGGAAGCTGGCTGCCAGCAGTGCCACGATTACATCCTACCCTCAGCAAATAGAGAGATTCACTGAACTGAATAGTTCTGACCAAAGTTCCAGAATTAAATCTCATTGGGTCACATGCCTATTGCTGAAATGGCGTGGCAACAGGGCTCTCTATAATGCTGTGATTGGCCAAGCCTGGGTCACGTGTCCGTTCCCACAACTAGAGATAGTGTCATCTCTAGAGCTACATGGATTGAGAGTTGGGGCAGGGGCTGCTGTAGGAGAAATGGAAGTGCTGTTACCAGAAGGAAGAATGGACACCGGAATGGTAGCCACCGGGAAGGAGCCGGAGCCCCACAAGCTGTCCTTCCTGTTCATGTGAGGCAGCTATAGCAGTGAGGCAGTTTCAGGGAGGCACTAGGAGGCTGGGGGCTGGGCCGGCAGTGAGGGACATGGTAGATTGGGGTCAAGTAATAGTAACACCATTGTCCCTGCTGTTTGGGGCTGTGAAAAGGTCTGGGAGGGTTATTCTGACAAAAAACCTGACAACATAAAAGACACAGTGCTAAGTAAGTCCTTGTCCTCAGAATAAAGGCAGGAAAAGCTGAACAGTTGGGTGACACCCCATCAAGATATTGCTGCTACTGGAAAGGGCAGACATTGTCTGGGGACATTCATGGGATTGTGAGACAGGATGAAGGAAAGGGCACTACCAGCTGGACTTATGAAGGGAAGAAACAACCATTTTCCCCTCAAGTTTAAAAAACGAAGCTTATACATTTTTACAATAGTGATAAATTTACAATAGCCCAAAACATCCCAAATTCCAACAGTAGGAGTCTGGGTAAATATTGTAATGCCCAGAGAGTAAAATGCAGCCTTTACAAATAATGCTTTATTTGACATGGAAAGATGTTCACAATGTAGTTTTTTTGTTTTGTTTTTGTATTTTTTGTAGAGATGGGTGGGGGCGGATCTTGCTATGTTGCCCAGAGTGGTCTTGAACTCCTGGGCTCAAGTGATCCACCCGCCTTGGCCCCCCGTTAGAGGTAGGACTACAGCTGAAGCTTTTTTTTTTTTTTTTTTTTTTTTTTGAGACGGAGTCTTGCTGTGTTGCCCAGGCTGGAGTGCAGTGTCCGGATCTCAGCTCACTGGAAGCTCCGCCTCCCGGGTTTACACCATTCTCCCGCCTCAGCCTCCCGAGTAGCTGGGACTACAGGCGCCCGCCACCTCGCCCGGCTAGTTTTTTGTATTTTTTAGTAGAGACGGGGTTTCACCGTGTTAGCCAGGATGGTCTCGATCTCCTGACCTCGTGATCCGTCCGTCTCGGCCTCCCAAAGTGCTGGGATTACAGGCTTGAGCCACCACACCCGGCCCTTTCTTTTTTTTGAGATGGAGTTTTGTTCTTGTTGCCCAGGCCAGAGTGCAATGGTGCGATCTCGGCTCACTGCAACCACTGCCTCCCAGGTTCCAGCGATTCTCCTGTCTCAGCCTCCCGAGTAGCTGCGATTACAGGTGCATGCCACCACACCGAGCTAATTTTTGTATTTTTAGTAGAGAAAGGGTTTCACCACGTTGGTCAGGTTGGTCTCGAACTCCTGACCTCAAGTGATCCACCTGCCTTGGCCTACTAGAGTGCTGGACTTACAGGGGTGAGCCACTGCTCCTGGCCTTTTTTTTTTTTTTTTTTTAAGACAGAGTTTCACTTTTGTTGCCCAGGCTGGAGTGCAGTGGCATGATCTCGGGGTCACTGCAACCTCCGCCTCCTGGATGCAAATGATTCTCCTGCCTCAGTCTCCCTAGTAGCTGGGATTACAGGCACCCACCCACACACCCAGCAAATTTGTGTGTGTGTGTGTTTTTTAGTAGAGATGGGATTTTACCATGTTGGTCAGGCTGGTCTTGAACTCCCAACCTCAGGTGATCCACCAGCCTCAGCCTCCCAAAGTGCTGGGATTACAGGCATGAGCCTGAAGCTTATCTTCTGATTTCTCTATAATAAGCCTGCTTGATAGTGTGATCGTGTCATAGTCAACTAGAGCCAGCCTCCTGAGTGCAAGTCTCAGCTCTGCCACTGCTTGGTATGGTGGCGATGGGCAAATCCCTTCACACCTCTGAGCTTCAGTTCATGCAACCATAAAGTGGGGGTAACAGTTCTTAACTCATAGGGTGGCTGTGAGTATTAAATTAGCTACTACTACCTGCAAAGCTATTAGCCATACCTGCAGTAAATGCTAAAGAATGTAGTTCTTATTCTTGTGTAATTAAAAAGTCCAAAAGAGGGCTGGGTGTGGTGGCTCACACCTGTAATTGCAGCACTTTGGGAGGCCAATGCAGGTGGATCACAAGGTCATGAGTTCGAGACCAGGTTGACCAATATGGTGAAACCCCGTCTCTACTAAAAATACAAAAATTAGCCGGGCATGGTGGCAGGCGCCTATAGTTCCAGCCACTTGGGAGGCTGAGGCAGGAGAACCGCTTGAACCCGGGAGGCGGAGGTTGCAGTGAGCCAAGATTGAACCACCGCACTTCAGCCCGGGCAACAGAACGAGACTCCGTCTCAAAAAAAAAAAAAAAAACAAACCAAAAGAAAATATGACTGTAAGTCAATACACTGGAATTAAGTGTCTTTGCTGGCCAAATAGCTGTGGCAGTAGACAATAAATGAGCTGTTATTAAGATAAGTAATTTAAGCAATTTTTCTCTAACATGGGGAAACATCTAAGAATAAGAGAGGGAAGTTCTCTATTTTCCTGAAGCTTTCATACTAACAGAGAAGACAAATAATAGATACTGCGAAGATAGGATGATTGGAGAATGCAGTGATATGAATTTAGGGGAAGAGGAGGGAGGCAGAGCAAAGAAAGTCCAAGGCCTTGGCCAGACGTAATGGCTCACACCTTGTAATCCAAGCAGTTTGGGAGGCAGAGGCAGGCTGATAGCTTGTGTCCAGGAGTTTGAGACCAGCCTGGGCAATCCAGCAAAACCCTGTGTCTACAAAAAAATACAAAAATTAGCCGGCCATGGTGGCATGCGCCTGTGGTCCCAGCTACTTGGGAGGCTGAGGAGGGAGAATTGCTGGGAGGTCGAGGTTGCAGTGAGCTGAGATCATGCCATTGCACTCCAGCCTGGGTGACAGCAAAAACGTCAAAAAAAAAAAAAACAAACAAAAAACAAACAAAAAAAACCCCCAAAAACCCCAAAAAAACACAAGGCCTGTGGTTGAGGGGAAGGTTGTAACTCTAAAGAAGACCCATGTGGCTACAGCGAGGGACACTGAGTGTAGGTTGAGATAAGAAAAGTGATATTCAGTTCTCACATCACTGTGGACTGAATACAGGCCCAGGGGAGCGAGAGACCATCCACCCCTGTGATCTGGGGCAAATCACCAGCCCTTTCAGAGAAGCTTCTGTCTTCTCTGCAAAATGGGACGATAATACCTTGCTTCACAAGGCTGCAAGGATCAAAAGAACTGGTAGTGGGCCGGGCAAGGTGGTTCACGCTGGTAATCCTAGCACTTTGGGAGGCTGAGGCAGGTGGATCACTTACTTGAGGTCAGGAGTTTGAGACCAGCCTGGGCAAAATGGCGAAACCCTGTGGCAGCTAAACATACAAAAATTAGCCTGGCATGGTGGCAGGTGCCCACCCGTGATCCCAGCTACTTGGGAGGCAGAGGCAGGAGGATCACTTGAACACAAGAGGTGGAGGTTGCAGTGAGCTGAGATCGTGCGCTGCACTCCAGCCTGGGCAGCAGAGCGAGACTGTCTCAGAAAAACAAACAAAGAAAGAACTGGTAGAGGAAGCGCTTTGCATACTACCGTTCACAGTATTATTACAAATACAACCATTGGGAAAAGATGCGGAGCCTAGCCCCGAACTCACGAGCTACGCTGGCCCACGCCTGCACGACAGGCGGGCGGAGCCACGGCAGTCCAGGCACCGCCTTGACCCGCCCCAGCCTCTTCCCCTTCCCTGTTCCTCCCACTTCCGCGGGCACCCAACTGTGCGTCTCCTGCGCGCTGACGTCAGGTGCGTGCCCCTGTCCGGCAGCCGAGGAGACCCCGCGCAGTGCTGCCAACGCCCCGGTGGAGAAGCTGAGGTGAGTACGGGGCCTGAGGTTCCCCGCGGGAGCGGCCACCCTGCCGTCCCGTCCCCGCTGTCCCCATCCTCTCCCAGTTCTCGGGGACACCCCATCTGCGGGATCTCGGGGGGTTCGGGAGCACCGGTCCTGGGGGAGCGTCAGGCTCGCGCTGCGTCCTTCGGGCGGGCGCGGGTCCGCGTTCTATGGGGGAGCCGGGGCGGGGTTCGCGGCCGGGGAGGCTGGGGGCGGCCGCCCGCTGAGGGGCGCGCGGCCGGGACTCGGGGCGCGAGCGGCGCCGGGCTGTCACCGGCAGCGGCGGAAGGAAGGGGTCACACCCATCCCGGGCGCCCGGGCTCCCTTCCCCCCAGCCCGGCCCCGCGGGCTCCTAAGGGCGGCCGGCGCCTGGGTGCCGGGGGCCTCAGAGCGACTCGCGGGCGCCTGGGCCTGGCCGGGCGCCGGTCCCCGGGGCTCACAAGCTGGGTTCTGTGCCCTGCGCTCCGGCCTGGACTTCCTGCTTCGCCGGGCGCCGTCGCGGACATTTTGCGGCGCGGGGGGAGGGGAGCGGCGTTGCGGCCGCGGCGGGGCGGCGGCGGGAGGGCAACTCGCGGGCTGCCCGCGGCGGTGCCTGTCCGCGCTCCGCTCCGCGCCGGCCGCGTCCTCCCGGCGCGGTGGCCCCGAGCCCCGCGCTCCAGGCTGCTCTTCCTGGCGGAGGTCGAGTTCCTAGCATTTCCGTCCGCTTCTCCAGCCCGCTCCCTGCCGATTCAGCTGAAGCTTCCCTTTTGGGGAGTTACCTAACCACCTCCCGAAACCGTCATTCTGCTGCTTGGTTAATTCCTCTTATCGGGGGGAAATTTTCTTTGTTCGTTTGTTTTTCCTCCCCTTTAAGTCCAAGAGAAATGCAGTGTGGAAGATTACGTCATCGCGGTATAAGGAGTGAGACTTAACTCCTGCAAGTCAGGGACTTAAATTCAGACAGCATTTTGCAGCCTTGGTCACCCAGTGGCTTGTCCTGCCTACTTCCCAACGCGTCGTATTCACAGATGATGTTTTGAAGCCTTGTTACTTGTGTTCATGACCGCCTTCAGTGCACCTAAAAGCCAGGAATGTTTAAAATCCCAGCATTAGTTTGTGTAAGGGAATAAAGTGTAAGACAGCACCGTCCACGGCCCCTTGCGTGGGCATTAACTTTAAATAGAGGCCCCTTTGACTATACTAGAATGAAGTGGGTTTATTTGTGGGAACACTTTTTCGGTCCAAAATGACTTTCCCATACTGTTTGACTTCTCCTTTATGAATTATGGCATGCTGGGAACCTCCCTAAGTTGATTCAGGTGTACTTTTTGTGGCGAAGCTGTGTTGGAAAGAGAATCAGTTTATGCCAGATCTATGCTAGACATTTTAGTTTTGTTATTGAAAACGAGACTTGGATATTTATGCAAAAAATTTAATATTTTCATTTTGAGATTACAGTTTTTATTTTTTTTGAGACAGGGTCTCGACGTTACTAAATATAATGGATATTGCACTCCCAGGCTGGAGTGCAGTGGCGCGATCTTGGCCCACCACAGCCTCCGCCTCCCGGGGTCAAGTGATCCTCCCACCTCAGCCTCCCGAGTAGCTGGTACTGCAGGCATGTACCCCCATGCCCGGCTAATTTTGTGTTTTTTGTACAGACAGGGTTTCGCCATATTGCCCGGGCTGGTCTCGAACTCCTGGGGTCAAGCAGAGATCACAATTTTTGTTCCGTAGAGTGTTTACATCCTAAATTTTATATCCTTCCTCGACTGCAATAGTAACATAGAAAAATGTTAACACTGCAAAGCAAATGAGATCCAATTGTGTAATGCATTGTTGTAAAGATAATTCATGTCCGAACAAGTGCTTTCCCGCTGTTTCTCATTTCTGTAGAGAACAGATTGGTAAACACTTAAAAGGAATGTAGGTTCAAGGCAGCTTTCTGTAGTGTGTAGGCATTACAGACCATTGGATAAGTGTGGAACTTGGATCTTCTGAAATACATTTGTTAGCCTTGATGTAATATTTTAGGCATATAAAATTGGAACACATCTGCCTTATTTTCTTGAACTTTCTATGTTTAATAACTTTAAATATCAATTTGTATATTTCCTTTTAGAAAATAACAGTAGTTTGAATTTATAGTTTATACTAAGATGGAGACACGAGATTGGTAATCTACTAAGTATTAAATGAGCTCGTTTTCAGTAATTTCTTCAAGACCGGAAAGGTATCACATCTGTTTACTCTTAAAATGTTTTCATGTTACAACCAATACCTGTTCTAACTAAGCTTAATTTTTTGGGAATCTAAGGCAGATGTTATAGCCTAGAGTAGTATGGGGACTTAAATAAAAAAAAAAATTTTTTTTTTGAGACAGGGTTTTACCCTGTCACGCAGGCTGGAGTGCAGTGGTGTGATCACAGCTCACTGCAGCCTCGGCCTTCCAGCCTCAACTGATCCTCCCACCTCAGCCTCTGCAGTAGCTGGGACTACCGCTGCATGCAACCAGACGCGGCTGATATTTGTATCTTTCGTAGACACGGAGTTTGGTCATATTGTCCAGGCTGATCTGGAATGTCTGAACTCAAGCTGTCTGCCCCCGTTGGCCTCTGAAAGTGCTGGGATATAGGCATGAGCTGCTGTGCCGCTGGCAGACTTTCTTGGAAGTAAAAGACAAGTTGTGCTTTTATTTATAGATGTATTTTAAATGCACTTCTCTATTGTTTCAGAGTTTGTCTCTTTTTTTTTTTGAGAGGGTGAGAAACACTTAATGAGCACCTTAGGCTACAGGGCTTCCTTTGAAGGGGAGAGAGGGTTAAATATTGCATTAACATATCTTCCATAAACATATCCCTCTATATTAAAATGCTTCATTTGGGAATTTTATGGTAATGCCTTATTCAGTGTTCTTTTCCACATAAATTTCATCATTAGATTTTAAGTTCTGTGAAGGCAGGGCTTTGACCTGACATGGTCACCCCATTGCTAATGCCTAGAATACTGCCATACAAATAGTAGGTTTTAAGAAATATTTTTCAAGTGAATGAATTTGATGATGTCTGAGGGTTAACGTTTTCCCTAATATTCCATGGGTCTTTGTGCTGTGTTTCCTGAGACAGCTTTTGTGCTTGGTCAGCCCATATCTTTATTTGGGCTCATTGAAGTAGTGATTACTAATCTACTTTTGCTTGACTTTTTCCATCTGTTTAGTTCAGTATCTTCTGCAGCTGCACTGTCTGGACAACTTACTGTCACTTAGAAAATCTATGATGACGAGTTCCCTTACTCTCCTAAAAATTATTCACTTAATGTTTGTTTCCTTATCTTCCTTTATTTCTTTGTTTGCAAATAACTTTTGCCACTTGTTCACTACTGTATCAGATTCCTTGTCATGTTATGCTTTGTGTCTTACTAGTTTCTACTTTTAGTTTCTCATCCCTCCAGTCCAAAATATTTTTACTAAAGCAGTTTTCTTTACTTGCCATTTCAGCTACCTCTGCTGCTGCTGCTATTTTAAGTCCTGAATGTCAAAACTCTTCTGGGACATTGATCTCAAACTGCTTATTCCATGAAGTGAAACCAGGCTTTCTGCCACCAGTATGGTGTCCCTCCTTGCAATTTTAGAAAAATATTTTTTAAATCAAAGATTTGGCATTGGCCATTATACTAAAGTCCAGAACAGTTTCTAATAGAGCAGAAAACTATATTGTTAAGTCATGGTATTCAGTAAGCATTGGTTCTCTGTCACCTGAAGAGAAACTCTGATTTAGGCTCTATTACTTACTGTTGTTCTGTAACGCTTTACCCTTTAACCTTGCATCCTTTTCTGTAAAATTAAATCATTGCCATTTGCCATTTCAATTCTGCTGTGTGTTCTTGATTGATATACTATAGTGATTAAAAGCATAGACTCTGGAACCAGACTGCCTGGGTTCATATCCTGGTTCTGCCACTTATTAGCCATGTGCAGTCTTAGTAACGTCTTTGTGACTCAGGTTTACTTCCTCTAAAATAGGGGTAGCAATAATGCTTACCTCACAGTGCTGCAGTGTTAGGAAGATTGAATTAGTTCATATATGTGACGTGTTGAGGACTATTCACTGTCACATAGTGAGTGCCGTATAGATTTTTGCTCTTGGCACAACTCTGAGGACGCTTCCCCGCCATCTTTGAGAAGCTGTGTTTCCCTCAAACATAAACATTTTAATAACCATCCTTCTCCCAGACTTAATCGATGAATCCCCAAAACCGTTTCTTTTTTCTTTTTTGAGAAAGGAGTTTTGGCCTTCTGGTTGCCAACTGGGTGCAATGGTGCGATCTCAGCTCACCGCAACCTCCTGCCTCCCAGGTTCAAGCGATTCTCCCTCAGCCTCCTGAGTTTGCAAGGCATGCGTCCACACACCGGCTAATTTTGTATTTTTATAGTAGAGATGGGGGTTTGTCCATGTTGGTCAGGCTTGGTCTCGAACTCCTGAACATCAGGTGATCTGCGCCTCCTTGGCCTCCCAAAGTGCTGGGATTACAGGCCGTGCTACCACATCTGGCCCCAAAACATTTCAAATGAAGTGGGCATTGCTTTACTTTTTTTTTTTTTGTGAGACAGAGTCTTGATCTGTCACCTGGGCTGGGGTGCAGTGGCGTGATCTTGGCTGACTGTAACCTCTGCCTCCCGGTTCAAGTGATTCTCCTGCTTCAGCCTGCTGAGTAGCTGGGATTACAGGTGTCCGCCTCCAGCCCGGGTAATTTTTGTATTTTTAGTAGAGTGGGGGTTTCACCATGTTAGTCGGCTAGGCTGGTCTTGAACTACTGAATCTCAGATGATCTGCCTGCCTCAGCCTCCCAAAGTGCTGGAATTACAGGCGTGAGCCACTGCACCCGGCCTCCTTTACGTTTTTATCCATTATCTTTACCATTATCATAGAAGCAAAGGGTGTAAGGCCTCAGGTATGCAGTCTAGTCCGTGGACCCAGCAGTGTAAGCATCACCTGGGAGCTCATTTG